ATAAATAAATAAATAAAGGTATTGTGTCCAACTACAACTAAAAAATAAATATTTAAGAAAAAGTTATCTTTTAGGGGTCTCTAAACTACTCTAGGAAGAGGAGAAAGGTTTCTCTGCAGAAGTGATATTTAGGAGGTTCTGAAGAATAAGGAGAAGAGGAATTAGCTATAGTATGTGCAAGGGCCCTTGGGTGAGTTTTGAACTTTCAAGGAACAGGAATTGAAAAAAATAAAAATCAGTACAGCTAGATCACAGAGTAAGAAAAAATGTAAAAATAAATGATGCTGGAAAAAATAGGCAAGGTCAAATCACACCTCATTAAATAAAGATTCAGTGCTTTAAAGGAAAAGCAATGTAAGTTTTCTGATAAAGTGCTTGATTAGATTTACTTTAAAAGGACAATTCTAGCTGGGAACAGTGGCATACACCTATAATCTCAGTGACCAGGGAGACTGAATGAAGCAGGATTGCAAATTCAACTTAGCCTGTCTCAAAAGAGCAGGGGTGAGGGATGTAGCTCAGTGGAAGGGCATCCCTGGATTCAATCCCAGTACAAAAAAAATAAAAAGGTAGTAGCTCAGTGGTTAAGTATCCTGGGTTGGATCCCCAGTACTATAAAAAAAAATAAAAATAAAAAAGTAGGTGATGGTATATTGCTTATACACACATATATATATACACACAAATATAAAGAAATGCAAAATATATAACAAAAATATAAAGAAATGCAAAGGAATAATAAATCAAGTTGATGATTAGCTCAATAAGGAGACCTATAATGGGGTATGGGAGAGAAGACCCAATCAGGTAGAAAAACAGGACTTCAACTATAATGATAACATCTTTCTTGAATAAGGTAGACACACAAATATTCATCATAGTATAATTCATTACTTTTTGGAGGAGTTCTGTGTTTGGGATTGGGATCTTTGACAAACTTGGTGATCGTGACATACTTGGTAACTAGGAAGTTTCTGTGCAAAGACACAGAATGCCCAGCTACTAGGATATACCTGGTTACTAGGAAACTCCTGTGCAAAAATCACAGGATGCCCAGCTGCCATAGCAATGTTCTTCACAAGTTTATCCTGTTTCCCAGGCTTGGAATGCCCAGCAGTTTCCCCTCCTTGAAGCTACTAGGATAACTATGCAGGTGCACTATCTGGTCTCCTTAGCAATGTCCTCAGCCAGCACTCAGGGTTAAAAAAATACTAATTAGAATGTAGTCATGGTAATGGTGGTATTTAACTTTTTTTGAGTTAAATACAAAAAACTCAAGCAGGAGCAGAACTTAGAGTTCACTTCTACTCTTCTTCGCTCTGCTCCAACTTGTCCGTCCGCTTCTACCATGTCTGTGTCTGTTCATTTATTCGTCTATTCACAGGTTTTCTTCACAGGTGTTCGTTACAACTTTTCCTGTCTCAAATATCTCATAGTACTTTAAACAATAATAATAAAAGTGAATAAGGATTGGGAGTGGTGCCACACACCTATAATCCCAGTGACTCTGAAGGCTGAGGCAGGAGGATCATAAATTTGAGGCTATCCTCAGCAATCTAGCAAGACTCCGTCTCAAAATAAAAAATAAAAGGGTTGGAGAGTGTAGCTCAGTGGTAAAGACCTGCTGGGTTCAACCCGAGTACAAAAGAGAGAGAGGGAGAGAGGGAGAGAGGGAGAGAGGGAGAGAGGGAGAGAGGGAGAGAGGGAGGAAGGACGTGAGTTTGAATGTGACTGAATAAGGAGCTAGGCTGAGTATCACATGCCTATAATCCCAGAAACTTGGGAGGCTGAGACACCAGGATCCTGGAATTTTTTTTTTTTTAATACTGGCTACCTGTTCAGGGTTTCCACTGAGATAGTCAGAAGTAATTTAAATTGAGTTTTACAAACTGAACTCTCTCTTGGCTCTAATCCTAGAACTTCAATGTTTCATTTCTACAATTTACCAAGGTCAGACTCTTATCCCCATCCTAGTTCAGGTCACCCTTTTCTAACTATAACAACTATTTCTAAATCATTTTTCTCATTTAATTTTTTCTTGGGGGTGGGGTTCAATACTGAAGATTTAACACATGGGTTCTCTTCCACTGAGCTGGAAGTCAGCTGTGATTACAGGAGAGCACCACCATACCCAGCTTGTAAGTTTTCTGAATGAAGAGCATGCAATATTTTCATAAGCAGAAAAAGTCAATAAAACTGAGAACTACCCTCCCCCCAATAGGATGCATTGGACTGGGCACAACAGCACATGCTTAGCTGAGGCAGGAGGATTATGAATTTAAGTCTAGCCACAGTAACTTAGCAAGACCCTGTCACAAAACAAAAAAAGGCTGGGGATGTAGCTCAGTGGTAGCATCTTCCTGGGTTCAAATCACAGTATCACAAAAAGAAAAGGGAAATAAGAACTTCAAATAAAGCAACAGTTTTTTTAGAACACATCACTCTGCACTGAATTAAGCAAGAAACAAACACTATGTATTTATTGAGAGAATGATGCTCTGGATTTTCATTACATATCTTATATTCTAAGATCCCAACTACTGATTTGATGGGTAAGCCTGGAGCTGAGAGGCAAGGGGCTGTAGATAATCAAAGACAGAACCTTGCATTCCTTCCCTTTGGCCAAATTATACAAATATAAAATTAATTAACAAAAGATAAGAGCAGTTGTTGTGCTTGAGATGTTAATTTATTAAATCCTTTGGATTAAAGGCTAAAATCAATTCAAACTCCATGAATTGAAAAAAATATATAATCATGGAGGGTTAGCTAAACAAGTAGAAAACCAATTCTCAAATTATACAACATGCTTAAGTTAAAGTGCTAATTTTTTAAAATGCTTTGGAAAAATGCACAACAGTCTAAGACAAGTAGTAAATAATATCAAGCCACTACAAATCAGGTCACATATTTACAAAACTTCCACATAATTTCTAAGTAATTCTCTTTGTAAAGTACTTTGCGTACAGCACTGAGAGCACAAAGTAAACCAAGACACAGATTTGTTTACCAGAGCTTTTTACCTTTTGCACAGAAGAGTTAGTTCGTTGTTTCTTTCATTCTGCCACTATACAACGCTTAAGAAATTCAAAGCAAATGTAATATAAATTCCCTCTCCCCAAAACAAATCGGCAAACTTAATCACAGTTCAAAATATTTTTAGCCAGGAGCTCTGAAATTAGGTTTTTTTTTATTTCTGCATTCTATTCTGAATAACATCCAAAATCTCTTTAGGGGAAAAAGGATTTGACTCCAAATTTACATTTATTAATCCTTTTATTCTACAGCTATTAATGTACTCGAGATGTTTTCTGTTTATCAGAGAATTAAAAGTCCTTTATTAACATAGTTTTTGGGTTTTACAGCACTTTCATATATACTCACATGCACGTGTTACACAACATAAACAATACTTTCAGACTTAATAGGCATACAAGACAACACTTTCCCAGAACTTATTCTAACCTGTTAGCTCAATTTCACCTAGTCTTGATGCTAACAAAATGAAGCATAAGCACAAAGAAATCAGTACCACTGCCAGTTCTCAACGAACAAAAACACCTTCCTATTTCGCAAAGGTAAAACAATCCCAATCAAACGCCACCCTCCCCCCCAAAAAAGAGCGGGAGAAATCAAATTCTAAACCACACAGTCCATGTAAATCTTTCAAAGCTCCAAGCGCAGCCACCAGCCCACAATCACAGCGTTAGCGCCTTCTCTCAATTCTGAATCTGGAGACTCAAGAAAAAAAAAAAAAAAAAAAAAACAACGAAAAGCAATGCTCCAAAGTTTCACGAAGTGGGGGAAAGTCCTTTTAAGTAAAGAAAACGCATCCATCAAGAGGCGACTAGCCCAGCCCTCCCGCCCGCCTCTCTCCCGCTTCCAGCCCTCGAGCTAAACCTCCTCTAAACCCTCCGAGGGAGGCGGGAGACGTGCGGGGAGATGTTAGACAAGGAGCCAAACGAACCCGCAAGCCGCACGCCGCGATGGCAGGGGCCGCGGTCGGGCAGACAAAGAGCAGCCCGCGAAGCGCCGGGCGGTGGCCGACCGCCCCGGCGCCGCCCTGCGCCCCTAACCGCTCCGAGGAGTTGCGAGCACGCCCGGGCGCCGCGCAAGTGCGCTCCAACGCCGCCCCGGCTCCGGGCCGGTCCCCGGGCCGTTTCCCTCCCAATTTGGGAACCTCGCGCCTGTGGACAAAGAGGGAGGGCGCGCCCGGGGCAGCGGCAGGACGCGGGCGGCGACGCCCCTCCCGGCTCGGCAAGAACCCCTCGGCGACGCACCTCTCCCGCCCCCACCCCCCCGGCTCCGGCCGCGCTCTTCCCCGGGCCCCCGATCTTCTCGGGCCCTCTCCGAGCTCCCCACGAGTTCTCCCGCCTCCCCCGGACCCCGCCCCGGCCCGCTTCCCCTCAGCCGGCCCTGCGGCCGCCCCTCACCCGGCGGCGGGWTCCCCCGGAGCCGCCTCCTCCGCCGGGCCTCGGCCCGTCCCGCCGGCCGCCGCCTCATGTGCCCCGCGTCGCCATCGCCTTCGCCGCCACCCTCGCCTCTCCTCCTCCGCTGTCGCCGCCGCCTTCGCCTCAGTCTCCAACCGAGGCTGAAGCCGCTCYCGCCGCCGCCGCCTCCCGCTCCCGCCGCCGGGACCCGCGGGGAAGCGCCTGCGCACTACACGCCGCGGTGGGGGCGGGGGCGTCCCGCAGCGGCCTGGGAGCGGGGGTCGAGCTGCTCGTGGCGCTGGAGTAGGAGGGGGCGCCCCGGAGCGCACAGGGTGCGGCGCGAGCGCCAACTTTCCGCTGCTGGGTCCGCGCACGCTCCTGGGCGGTCCCGGACCCACCGGGGGCACTGCGCGGGTAGGACCCGCCCGTGTGGAGTCTGGACCCGGCGTGGGAGCACACTTCGTTCCCCCACAGTTCAGTCTTCTAGCTTGATTTGCGGACGGGGGTCCCCAGCCGGCAGTGCCTCCAGTGTGAGAGGGCCACTAACGGCACCGTAAGGACACGCCTCACCTGGGTATCCCGGGTTGGTTCACGGAGCTCCGGAGTTGTCTTGTGTGCGCCTTGCCAGGGCCTTGGTCCAGCGTACCATGGGATGCTGATGGCCGTTCTAAGTTCTGCAATACAGTTACTGGAGGGTCTTACAGGCCCTCGGTCAGTCAACCATCCTAGCTTCTTGGAATCGTGGATTTGGGAGGCAATCTAGAGACTTTTGAGGTCCTAGATTTCTTGGATTAGCAAGACCCTAATAAGCCATTTCCTCTTAACTCCTTACATCCCAGCAGGGATCCCATTCGAAGTACGTTTTAAAATTTGCATGCGTAGGAATTCTCCAGTTTAAAACTGCCTATCGAGAAACGGAGAATTCCCCGGAATGCTTTAAGCAGAGTGAGACTACGTGACAAAGGAAGGATTGATTGGTAAAGAGATGGAGGACGACTTTATACAGCGCAGTGTCTCACAATTCCTATGCTCCGGAATTAGTTTATTTGAGCATTACAGTACAAATGGATAGGTTTTCATTTTGCCCTTGTGACTAGAGAAGAAATTAAACTCTAAATAGCTAGGTGACTTGCTGCAGGTCCAACTCCTGCACTGGAAACTAATCCCTAAGGGCTAGTTCAGGGGTTCATAACTTGAGGGCTGGGCAGCTGGCTTGCTGACAAGTTTTATTCGGCCAGTATGGTGTTTTCCAAAACTATTAATTGCAAAATTTTAAAATCCAGATTGCTGACTTCTCTCTAAAGAATCAAAAAAAAATTCTCACTTTTAGCCTCTTTTTCAAGTGGTACCTACTTCTAAGGCATTACTTGCCTGCCCTCCCAGAATTGAACTTCTCTCTATACTTGTCATGCCCCAGTCTGCCTCCCTCACCACATTACCTCTCTACAGAGGTATTTGAAATGACAAGTGAGATGAAAATATTAATAAAGGCAATAAGGCTGGGATGTTGCTCAGTGATAGAGCTTTTGCCTAGCATTGGTGAGGCCCTGGGTTCCATCTCCAACACTGCAACAACAACAACAACAACAAAAAGGTTGACTAAAACAACACAAAACATGCTGATCTCAGTRACAAAAATCTGTAATCCCAGAGGAGTGGGAGGCTGAGGCAGGAGGAGCACAAGTTCAAAGCCAGTCTCAGCAAAAGCGAGGTGCTGATAAGCAATTCAGTGAGACTCTGTCTCTAAAATACAAAATAGGACTGGGGATGTGGCTCAGTGGTCAAGCACTGGTACTCAAAAATAAAATAACACAAAACCCATCATTGGACATCTTGATTTTAAAATATTAAAACTCTAAGTCTGCTAGTATATTGGTTCAAATCTCTCTGGAGAGCTGACAATATCTACTAAAGCCAAACTTAGGAATACACTATGACTGCAATTCCATGGAAAGTCTACAGAAACGTGTACCAAAATACTTGTCCTAGAGTATTCATAGCACTATTTGCAATAGCCAAAAAACTGGGAACTACTGAAAATGCCCATGAACCACAGAATGGGTAGATAAATATGTTATAATCACATAATAGTATATTGTGCAGCAATGAGAGTCTGTAATTACACACTAGAGAAATGGATCTCACAAAAGTTTCTGGGCTGGAATTGTAGCTCAGTGGCAGAGTGCT